TGCTCTGCCACATGGATGTGCCACATCCTTTATCCTCTGAATCTCAAGGCAGCACTGTGAACACCATTATCCTTATGCCTGTTTTTATACAGGAGGAAACATGTTCTGGGTGATGACAAGGGCATCTTGCTGTTTTTGCACTTACTCCTGAGCTCTTGCATCCCACCAATCAGCACAATTCCTCTCAAAGGGTCCAGTCATGGCTATAGACTCTTCCTCTCCTCCAAAAGTCATAGGCATAGAGGACCCTATAGACTGGCTTCTCTGACCAAGGGACCGAGTCTTTCTCGTTACCAAACAGGCAGCAGCTTTTTTTTTTTTTTTTTTTGTCTTCAATTTTTTTTTTTTAAATTGAGGACCTTTATTTTTGTTATTTATATGCGGTGCTGAGAATCAAACCCAGTGCCTCACACATGCTAGGCAAGCGCTCTACCACTGAGCTATACCCCCAGCCCCAAATAGGCAGCTTCTAAGCCCTGCTCCAACTTCCATTTGGCAGTTCCTCTGTGCCCTTCACTTGCCATCCAAAAGCCAGATCTAGTCTTGATTCTTCCTGCCCTGTTTTTTTTTTTTTTTTTCCCCTTTCCCTGCTTCCTCAAGTTCAGAGTGGCAAATGGCATCATTCCAAGACAGCAAAGCTGGGGGTGGGACTTTTTAAGTGCAGCATGGTACCTAGTCCAGGCCATGCCTGGTAAATGTCTATTTTATGGGTGACTGGGACATGTTCTTATTCAGAGACAGGGCTCTTGGGGAACTGGGCAGACTTCAAGACCAGAGTAGAAATGACTTGCCCAACACTGTGCAGAGGCTCAGGGAAGGAAGTCACCTCCTCTGGAGTACCCTTGTGGCTACTGCAGCCTCTAGCTGGAGGCACACTAGGGTAACCAGGACAGCACCTCCTGGCAAAACCCACCTTTGTTCTCATACATTTTTGTGGGCTTCTTTAACCCTACCTCCCAATGTGGCCCAGATCACATTGATTGTTGCCTTGAAGGCTGGACTGTGTCCCAGTATCCTGCCCTGGCCTGGCACAGAGCAGACCCTCCATATATGAACACTGAGTGGATATATAACAGTAAATCACTGTCTAAGTCATTCTGCACAGCAGTTTGGCATACGAAATACCCTACTCCTACCCAGCCATGCTAGTAGGCCGCCGGTAATCACACCAACAGGTCCTTATTACTTTCCCTTCCCTTGTGAGGTGGTCCTTGGTTGCCTGATTCTCCTACCAGTCTGGCCATACCCTCCCTTTATCTTAAATTCCTAAGGTCCCTAGGGTTGTTCTAAACATCCATCTTTGCTCATCTTCCTTCCCTGGGTGACAATAGCCACTTCTACAGTTTTATCTAACATTTGTGCAGAACCCTAAGCCCTCCTGCCTACTCTGCACCTCTCTTTCAAGCTACATAACCAGTTACTTATTCCTCTGAACACCCCATAGTAGAACAAGGCCACTCCAAGGCCTCAGCCAGCAGACTTCATGAGTATGACCAGATCACCCAGGGCCAAAGCAAGGAGGTAAATGCTAGACAGCAGATGGGACTAAACCCACAGTGATTCCTGTACACAAGCATGAGAGAAAGGAAGTAGAAAAGTGCTGTAGTTGTCAGAGTCAAGGTCAACTGGAGGGTTAGGATGGAAGACCAGCATAGAGCCAGAAAAAGATGTGGAGGGAGGTGAGCTAAAGCCATGGTCAAGGGGATAGAGACATGGATAAGTGCATGCAGGAAGAAGGACTAGGATACCTTGACCCTTTCAGAAAGCTGGGTAATTGCTGGTAATCCCAGCAATTTAGCAAGATCCGGTCTCAAAAAAATTAAAAAGACCCTTGATATGGCTCAGTGGTAAAGCACCCCTGGTTTCAATCCCCAGTAGCAAAACAAAAACAAGCCACTTGTCCCTTTAGACTGTCTGTGTTCAGAGTAAGAACTCTCTTGACACCTGATCTCATGAATTGATAACAGGCCAGGGTCCAGTGCACTTCGAATAAATAAATCAGTATGTCCAAAGCCCTGCCCTATCACTCCAACCTCTAGGTCTGTAAAATGGAGACACATGAAATTAAATGAGACAAAAAGGACCATGTAGTGTTCCACCTGTCTTACTATCCTTTGGAGTTGGGCAGAAGGACTCTTTTCTCTCAAGTTCCCCACTGTCTTCCCTGCCTACTCTGCATGTCTCAGGGACCCTGAACCAATTAATATGGTGACCCTGTCACCAGGCCCAGTTAGGAATCCCAGGTTCCCATTTCCACAGAAGACTGCCCTTCCTGGAAAAATTTAAACATACTCCTTTAAGCTTGCCTTAAAGGGGGGCCTCCTCACACCTGTCCCATAGAACGACTTATTTAGAACAGATGACCTCTTTTTAAGTAAAAATTGAAGTTACCATGCCTCCCAAAAAGCAGTTTGATGAGACAATCCTATTCCCATTCCTTATAAAAAGAATAAAGGAAAAACAAGCCAGGTGAGGTGGCACATGACCTGTAATACCAACTACTTGGGAGGTTGAGGCAGGAGAATCCCAAATTCAAGACCAGCCTCAGCAACTTAGTGAAATCTTGTCTCAAACTAAAAAATGAAAAGGACTAGGGACGCAGCTCAGTGGTAGAGTACCAATTAGTTCAGTTCCCAGTACCAAAACAACAATAACAAAAACCACTTCAGTATTGCTGGGTGTGGTGGTATGTGCCTGTAGTTCTGTAACTACTTGGAAGACTAAGGATGGAGGATTGCTTGAGCCCAGAAGTTTGAAGCCAGACTGGATGACATAGCGAGAATCTAACCAGTGAGGCACAGTCACACATGCCTGTAATCCCAGTGACTGGGAGGCTAAGGCAGGAGGATGGCAAGTTGGAGGCCAGCCTTAGGAACTTATCAAGGGCTTAAGCAACTTAGACCCTGTCTCAAAATTCCAAAACAAATAAAAAGGGCTAGGGATATAACTCAGTGGTAAAAATACCCCCAGTACCAAAAAACAAAAAAACAAAACAAACAAACAAAAACTCACCATACACATCCCTAAGCATAAACAAAACCAGAACACAGAATATTTGCATAGAATATTGACTTGGTCTGGGCCACAAAGGAGTTGCTGTGTACATTCTTGTTTCATGGTTTCCCAAGCACTGTTTACAAACCACCCAAGTCTGAAAGACACATATTTTATTTACAGCCAATCCCTGCCCACTGCCCCTGCCCAGTCAGGGGTTTACATTACAATGTGAATTGTCACCAAATGCTCTGCAGGCCCAGATGTCATTGTCTGGGCCTGCATGCAGCCAAGAGTGGCTTCCTTAATACCTGGCTGTCACTCTGAACCATGAGGACCTGGGCACAAAGCAGGCAGTGTCTCACTGTGGGAAGTGGGTTCCTGCCCAGGCCATGGTTCCAGGCTGTGCCAGAGGTTATTCTGGCCCCTTTCTTCCACACCTATAAGGGGCATTAGCGATCAGCTCACTGTCGGAGTTATGGTGGGGAAGGGCTCCAAGAAGGGTTCCAGAGTGGCCTTGCAGAGGACTCCCGGGGCCTCTTGGAGTCCAGGTCGTCAAGGGCGCAGAGCTGCACGCCATCTTGGGCAAGCTGGGCCCGCAGAGTGGGCGCTGTGAGGACCCGCAGCTCATGCAGCCTCTCCCAAGAGCAAGAGAAAGCATCAGGGCCCTCACCGCAGCCCCCGGCTGGAGGCACACTGGGGTAACCGGGGTGTGCCATCAGCTCGGCTGTCAGGGCATGGCCTGCAGGGATACCTTCCAAGGCTCTCGCCAGCGCCCCCAGTACGCGGTGAGCAGACATGTGTCGGCCGCAAGTGCTCAGGCCCACGAAAGCATCCGTCCACCTGTAGGTGCTGGGGCATCAATGGCAGAGCAGGAAGATCCTGAAGGCTAGTTAGGGGTCAGGGCGGGAAGGAACTAGAGTGGGGCAGCCAGTCGATGCCTGACCTTTTTCCAGGTTGAAAAAGGGACACTCTGGACAAGTGAACCAACCCGTGGGACTCTGGGGATGGGGTCGGGATTGGGGAGTCCGGTGCTCACCATAGGCCATGACGGGAGAAAGGACCCATAGCAGCCCTGGCATCGCGCTCCACTGTGCAGGCGAAGGCACGGGCTGGGTCTTCCAGCCACGCGCAGCCGCTCACACCACGTTCTAGCGGCAGTCGTGTGAAGCGCACCCCATAAGCCTGCAGCGACTCGGCAAACACCTGACACACACCTGCTGACGAAGCCGCCTCAGAGAGGAGCACATCTCCTCATCTGGGAGCAAAGCCCCCCGACCTGGGAGCTTGAACCCACGAACCTGGGAGTACGTGCACATGCTGATGTCCGTCCACATGCGTAGGGTCCCTGCCCAGCAATTCCCGGAAGCGGCTTAATTGGGCCTCTAGCTCCTCCCGCACCTGGAAGGAGAAGCATAGACATTTGAGCTTCAGGGAGCAGCTACAGAAGATTCCCTCCTTGTACAACTGTAAGACTGAATAAGAGAAGGATCTTGCCGCTCCTGTCCCTAACGACTTCACGGTAACCTCCGGGCTGAGCTTTGGGGTCAACGCGTGCATCCTCCTGCAGCCGCACCTCCGCACCTGAGGCAAAGCCACGTCTCCGGCAGCTACCGCCTCCCGGAATCCCATCTTGCCCAGAAAGAAGCCTTCGCGGCTCAGCAGCGACGAGGCGCCTTGGCGGGCTGGGCCTACAGGTCGACCTTCGGACAGGTTGGCGTGGAGGCCGGTAGGGATGCTGTGCCTGTGGGCGGAGCAGGATCTGGAGCCCAGACGCCGCGGGGCAAATGCATCCCCAAACCCGCTGGATCCCGTAAGGGGCCGCTCTCACCTGCGAGCCAGCTCCGCCGCGCTCTCCGCGGCCGCGCCGTTAACCAGCAGGGACACACTGGTCACAGTCCCTGCCAGGAAAGCCTCCACGATGCCCTCATCGCGCCGCGGACAGTAACCGAAGTCATCTGCGGTGACCACCAGCCGCACGCGCGGACCAGCCATGGCAGCTTCAAACCTTTGATGGAGACTTGAGGGGTGTGGTCTAGACAACCCAGGCCCCGCCCAAGAACGCTGCCCAAAACCCCGCCCTGACGCACACGCCTAGACGCGGCTATCCTTCGCCTTTGTTGTCACCAGCTAGTGGTTCCTAATTGGCTCTGTAACCACTCCGCCGACTTTGCTCTGTTGGAACTAGTTCAAGACTGCATTTATAATTACAACAGGACGAACTTTCCTTGACTAATAAAGTGAACGGCAGAGCGGGGCGCCGTGACGCACGCCTGTAATCCCAGTACCCCGGTGGGGCTAAGGCAGGAGGACCGCAAGTTTAAAGCCAGTCTCAGCAATTTAGTGAGGCCCTAAGCAACTTAGCAAGACTGTCTCAAAAAGGGCTGGGGAAGTGTCTCAGTGGTTAAGCTCCTCTGGGTTCAATCCCCAGAACCAAAGAAGAAGAAGAAGAAAAAAAAAAAGTGAACGTTGAGAAATGGGTTTTTATTTTGTTTTGGTTTTTTTTTGTGTGTTTTTTTTTTCTTTGTTTAAAATAGCAACATAAAAGAAAAAGAAAGGAAAGGAAAGGGAGAAAAACAAAAAAAAAAAAAAAAAAAAAAAGGAAAAGAAAAACTCCTTTACTCTTTCCAGAGATCACCATTGCTAACTTTCTGGGTAGTGTACTTCCAGTATTCTCTAAGAAGATAAACACACCTAATTTCACTTCACCATCCAAAGATGATCACATCAATGCTATTGCATTCTTGTAATTTTTTTTTTTGTATACCAGTGCCTATGAACATTTTTCATGTTATTAACTATTTTGATTTTTTAAAAATTGCCTATTGTCCTTTACTTATTTTTCTAAGAAGAGACATTTCCTTAGTAAAGCTCTAAACAAGAAAATGAACATATATGTCATGATAATGGCTTAATTTGAGAAAGCATTAGCCTCTGTGTCTCTCTGGAGCTCCGTCCAAAGTAACAAGTTTTACATTTATAACAATTTTTTTGCTCTTTGGGTCCAGAAAGCCTTTCCTTACCCATGATTATGTCACTAGTTACCATGATGACAAACAGTTTTCATTGTAATGTGACTCTTTTGATTTATTTTTCACTATGGAAATCATGGTATTTGTGTCCAGTCTTTGAGATTGGTAATGTCATTTGTGTTTTACAGATAAGGAAACTGAGTGTCAGAGAGGGGAGGAGTAGTGAATCTGGGATTAGTCCCTGCAACTCAGGGCCTACATCTAGGCCTCCTCTGATCCTCTTAGTCCTCTTAGGGGAAGAGAAGGTAGAGTAGAACTTGAGAATAACAAATAATACCTCATGGAGCCTTGTAGGTATTGGAGGACTCAAAAAGCCCTTCAACCAAGCTCTTGACATACAGACTGTTGTGTTCAATCATACTAATTATTGAATTAGCAGACCTCAACTAACTACCGTTCTCCACTGGGAAGCTGATCCTGGAAAGGCCAGAAGTCCTGAGGTTGTAAAAGTGGAAGATAGCATTGATTAAGCACCTCCTGGGTGCCAGGCACTGGACAGGGCTGACTGTCTCAGTCCTTGCCCCAAAGGAGCACCATTTGGTAGACAAGTAACAACATGCAGTGGTAGACTCTGGCATGGGGTTTGTGGTGAATCTGTTGACCAGAAGGGGAAAGGAAAGGGAATGTGGTAATGTTATATAGGGCCTCTCTTAGGGTGTCAAGTGTGTTGTATGAAGATTTTATGTAATCCTGTACTCCCTATGTGGAAGGATGTTAGTCCTATTTTCAAACAAGGAGTCTATGCTCAGGTTGAATCACACCCTCAAGAAACAGCACAGCCAGGAATTGAAGCTGGCTAGGCCTGTAACTGAGAACTGGAACTTTTTCCTCTGTTCTCAGGAAGACTGCAGAAAAGGGCTCAGACGGACTCTGTGGTCTATTACCTTGGGCAAGGGGAGCAGGCCCCTGGAAAGAAGAAATAAGAGCAGGAAGCCGAGGGTTTTGCAACTATCAGGGAGAAACTGAGGAAGGTGTGTTTGTACTGAGGTTGGAGGCCATGGCTTTTGCCCTTAGACTCATTTTGGGGCAGTTTAGGGTCACAGATCCGATTCCCCAGATTCAGAGCCCCTGGCCAGAGAGCGAAATCCACAGCCACTCGGGTCGCCAGTGACTATGAAGGCAACAGAGCCAGGGGCAGTGGGAGTGGAAGAGGAGTCAGCGTGGCCCCGCCCCCAACTATTGTGTCGTAAGAAGCAAGTGGGCAAAAGGATCCTTGTTAACCAATCAGGGGGCGGTATTTAAATAATCGAGCAGGGAGCCCCCCCCCCCCAACACAATCTAGCTCTCTGTGAGGTGGTCAATTAGCGCGCACAGACCACACAAGCTAGCCGAGCAAGGTAGGACTCTGGTGAGCGGGTCGATCATAAGCCAGGGTGGGACGCCAGGAGGCCCCGGTTTAGGAGGAGAGAGGGTCAGACACATCCCCACCCAGAGACCTCTGAGACAGGATACGGCCGTCCCCAGAGATCCCCACCCTTACGACTCCAATTGGGGGCAGTCCGCGGACGCCTAGGGGGCTCTGAGCAGAGGAAGAGTTATAAAGGACACGGAGTGTGGGGAGCGAGGTACCGGCGGACCCCAGGGCCACTGACATAGTCAGGGATGGACGGAAAGAAACTTGGACTCGTGGAAGCCTGGGCGCACCCTTGAGACCCTTACGCCATTTTCCCGCGTCCTGCAGAGTGGAATCTGTTGTGGAACTGAAGAGAGAAGGCGGACAGTGGGCTTGGCTGCTTGCATTATGGCCAGCTGTCGCCACCACTCAGGATACCTGGCCGACGATGAGGCTGGCCACAGCACGTACATAGCACGGGTAAGTGTGCCTAGCAGGATCCGAACCTGATGCCACGGACTACTAATACTCGTTCTTGTTTCCTATTGATCTCCTCTCTGGTCCTCTTAGTGAAGTCCTTATTATAGGCTTGACCTGTCTACAACCCCTTGCTGAGCCCTGATCTCCCTTGATTTCATTCCCAATTCCCCTGACTCCAGTGTCACAAGAGGGACTTGGATCAACTAGGAACTCTGAGTATGAGCATGGTGTCATCTCAGAGTCCAGGACTCAAGTTAGAGAAGTAGCCATATGTAAAACAGGGCTCAGGATCTCCTGTGTTCTCTGCATCACAGCAGTGGAGACAGGGATGGCTTGCTCCTTGCAGAGATTCAGAACCACAGAGACTCAGAGGGGTTTTATCATTTGCCCAATCACACCACATATAAGGGTAGAAGTGGGCTTTCAGACTAGGTCTTGTGTATGTGAAATGTAGGTTTGGGGAACATTTCAGGGAAATCATAAATAGATCCTTATTTGTGAAAGTGGGGGTTGAACCTCAAAAGGGGCTATTGTGGACACTGTCACACAGCCTGAAGATGGCAGAGTCAGGGTCCAAACCCAGGATTAGCATACTCTAAAATGCAATTCCTGGGCTTTGAATTTAGCTCGGTGGTGGAGCTCTTGCCTAGCACACTCAAGACCCTGGGTTCAAACACCAGCACTACCAAAACCAAAAAAACAAAACTGGAATTCCTTCCACTGTTCAATCTCCATCTAGCTCCTAGCAGCCCCCTAGGACAGGGACCTCCCTCCCCTGCAGGGCATCCTGCAAACTGTGAAAAGCCTGTCTGCTTAGGTGCAGCCACCCAAGAAGCCACTGTTGCCAGAAATGGGGTCAGCCTCCAAGCTGGGTCGTATGCCCCACCCACCATCAATGGATGGCAACTCAGCTTACCGGGGCCACCGCCAAACTGCTAAGGGCCCTCAGGCTTTTGGTAGCTTCTTGGATTTCCTGACTGAGGGCCAGGTGTTAGACAGCCTACAGACAGTGGTGGAGGAGGCAACAGAGCGCATGGCTGCTATGAAGACAGAGGCTGGGGTGCCATTGGTAGAGATCCAGGACCCAATTGAGGTGCCAAGTGGTAGGCGGCCACGTGTTCGACCCAGCTTCAGCACTGTGCACCGACACCGTGCTCAGCCCAGCCTCTGTACTGGACGCCCCAACAATTACCCATCTTGCTCCAGCTCCATGTCTGACTCCCATAGCAGCCTCACAGCTGGCTGTCTGGGCTCCCACAGCTGGAACAGTGACGTGGGTGCACAAGGCTTAGGCTCAGTGCCACCCACGAGGGACAAACTTCTACTGGAGAAAAACCTCAAGCGTCTACTGCGGTTGGAGAAGAAAGGGGTGAGATCTGGGTCCATGACTGGGGCTAGTGGGGGGGATGGACAGGCCAGGCCAGGGCCAAGCGTGCTTGGCTGCTTCTGGACACCTCTCAGAATCCCCTCCCCCTCTCTCTTTCTGCAGAAAGGCCTGAGTCAGCCCAGTTCCAAGAGGGAATCCCTGCTATGGGACTCACTGGGCAGCCAGGCCAGCAGCCAGCGGACCCGGGAGCAGCCATTGTCTTGGTTCTCAGGGCTGCTGGGCTCCAGACCAGGCACTCCTGAAGCATCAGAGATGGGACCTGGAGAACGAGAGCTGTTTTTCCTCAAACGAGAATTCAACAAGGAGATGAAATCTTTGCTGAGCCAGCCAGCATCCTTTGACTTGCCTGGCTACTGTTCAGTCCGTCAGCCCCATTGCACCCTGGACTTCCTGGCTAAGCACCACCTCTTTCCTGCTCTGCAGACTGTGGTCAGTCAGGCTGTGGACAAGCTCAGTTGTGCCCGCCGCCCAGATGGCTGCCCTCTTTTTCCTGTCAACTGCGATCCCAACCCAGCATTGTCATTTAACTTGCTACCACAAGACTCCAGGATGGTCACACCCACTAGGAGAAGGGAGCACTATGATTCTTTCCTCAGTAGAGCCTCCAGCTCCAAGATAACTCCCAGAAAAACCAAGGGCAAACGGGGCTCCCCCCCTGTGTCTAATGCTCAGGTGGCCACCAAACTCAGGCTCAAGGTGAAACCTACAGAAGAGACCAATGTCCCTAGCCCCTCACTTCACCCCAGGCAGGGGACTCCTGACTTAGATCCCAAATTACAGAAAACACCTGTGTTCCAGAGTTCCAGCCAGAAAACCAAGCCTTGCCATGGCTTGCATCTCACCCTGCCTGCACCTGGAATCACAGTGGAGTTGGCATCTAGTCAGGGTTGCCTCAGGGGACCAGTCCCACCTCCACTTGTCTCCTCCCACCCTCTTTCCTCCTACCTTTTCCCCATCCTCTCCTCTTCGGCTTCATTGAGTTCAAAGGTAATCCCCTTAAGAGTGGGGCATGGAAACTTGAGGACAAATTTGAAGGGCAATGACCCTGTTACCCACCACTCCTAGCAGCCACTGTCACTGGTAGGTGCCCAAGATCAAGGTCTCTCTTGACCTACATTATGGAAACCTGCTGGGCATAGTACAAGCTGCTGGAATACCAGGAATCCTGGCCTAGCTACTACTAAATATTGTCAAAGATGAATAAAGGCTATTTTTTATCCTGGATATATATTTTTTTAATGTTTGTATGTGAATCTTGGAGGTCCTCCCACATAGAAAGGGTCTTGTCCCTTGTGGGGACTCTGCATCCTAGAGTCTAGTTCCCTCTAAATTCAACTGCAGGACTCTCCAGCCTCTCTGATTTGCTTAGGGAAAGTTGCCCAGGGGGACTATGTGGACAACATAGGTGATTTTACCCTGGTGGGTCTCTAGCAGTCCCCCAACTGTGCCTTCACCAAGGTCCAGGTGTGCTTCTCTCTGAACATAGGGCTGCAGTATCAGCTTGTAGAAGCCCAGGTTTTTCAGGCTCAGGTTTGCTGGCACCATGACTGAGGTCCCTAGCTTTGCTGCAGGCCTAATAGGTGAGGCAGGTGAAGTGATCATGAGGGTTGGCTATTGAGTATCACAGCATAGAAAATGTGGTAGAGTTTATATCCTTAGTGTGATAAGTATGACTTCTATATTTGTGACAGGCTGGGCTGGTAGGGCTGCCAAGGAGGTGTGATGGGTGTCACAAGGCAGCAGGAAAGGTAAGACCAACAAGATGTGACATGTCTCCTTTTCCCTCCTTGGCTACCACATAGAGCCCCAGTGTCAAGTTCACGAAGAAGAAGTCGCTGCCTTCCATCTCATCCAAGTCCAGCATGTCCCACCTCTCCAACCCCTGGTACGAGGAGCTCATCAACTTCTTGGTTGAGCAGGCAGTCTCCTTGCTCATCTGCAAGTACAAGTTTGAGAACAACCTCAATAAGCAGCTTGGCTTCATCTCCTTCCCAATCACTGAGACACTCATGGACCTTTTCCTGGGCTTCAAGAAAGTGAAGGGCTCCCATATCCGCCTGTCCTCGAAGACAGACTGGCGCTGCCTGTTGCACAAGCTGGAGGAGGACCATTTGCTACATCAGGTCTCAAGGCAGGCCTCGCGGCTGGGAGCCCACCATCCCAGTAGCATCTCCCAGGTTGGTGCTTCCCAGGTCAGTGCCTCCCACGTCAGCACCTCCCACCATCGTGTTCCCCATTTTGGCCCCTCATGGCGTAGCACAGTGCCCCTCACCCCACAATCTACCATGCATCCTGAGCCAGTAACTGACAGGACCAAGGCCCAGGCCCAGGCCCATTCCCAGGCCCGGGCCCAGGCCCAGGCCCATTCCCAGGCCCAGGCCCAGGCCATAGAGCCTGACCCTTCCCTCAACATTGAGCTGCCAATCCTCCAGCTACACAGCACTCAGGAGCCTACTACAGAAGAGGGGAAGATACCCACAAGCCTATCAGAGCCCAAGCTGTCTGTGTCATCCACCACCAGCATGGGTTTCAGTCCTCCGGAGTCCAAGGAAATGGTGAATGTCGAGGACATTGATGGCAGTGACAAAGACAAGGATAAGGACAGTGATGAGGACAAGAATGAGGTTAAGGGCACTGATAGTGATAAGGACAAGGACAAGGATAAGGACAGTGATGAGGACAAGTATGAGGATGAGGGCAGTGATGAGGATGAGTATGATGATGAGGATGAGGACGAGTATGAGAATGAGGGTAGTGATGAGGAAAAGGAGGAGGATGAAGGCAGTGATGAGGATGAGGATGAGGTCGAGGATGAGAATGAGGATGAGGTCGAGGATGAGGATGAGGGCAGTGATGAGGACAAGGAGGAGGGTGAGCAGTATTCTGTGTATGACAGCGAGTTCCAGAGCTTCCCTGAGCCTGGATTGGAGACAACCATTAACTACTCTGTGGACATGGGCCACAGTGACCCCCCATGATGTCCCCATAAACCACACCAAGTGCTCCATTCCCTGCTCCTGCTCTTTTGGAGTGACTTCCCACTCAATTGGCCCCTGCTCTGAGCAGCGGTCAGGATGGGATGAGAATACCCATGAGAATTTCTGCTGATACTCTCAGGGAAGCCAATGAGAGAAACAGAAATAAATATGTTCATTTCTCATTCTGAGATTTCTGCTTCCCTTTCTTTTCTTCCTTGCCACCTACCTTTTTTTTTTTTTTTTTTTTTTGGTACCAGGGATGAACCCCGCAGGGAGCTTTACCACTGAGCCATACCCTCAGCCTGTTTTATTTATTTTTTTTAATTTTGGGACAGGGTTTCTATAAATTGCTTAGGGCCTCATTAAGTTGCTGAGGTTGGCTTTGAACTTGTGCTCCTCCTGCCTCAGACTCCCAAGCCACTGAGATTATAGGTATGTACCACCACGCCTAGCTGCTCCTGCCCTTTAGTAGCACCTTTAGGGTGGGCCTAGCTCAGCTGCAGCTATCCTTCATGAAAGCTAGTATCACTCTGACCCTGGGGAATCTCATGTGCTCTGCCTTATAATGCTCTCCTCTCACGTGACCAGCCTCCTTCTACTTTCTGCCTGCTTTGTTGTGTGGTTCTTCTCAACTCTAGTCTGCAATTTTCTGGTTCCTCAACCCTCTTAGGACTCCTGGTCACCCCTCAGTCACAGTCCCTGTGCATCATGACTCCTGCTTTTTGGAAACTTTCTCTGCCTGGGGAAGCTCCCTCCTTGCTTTGGTATGTCACAGCCTCACATTGCAGCCAAAAAACATGCAGTCTCACCCTCTCCAGCTATTCTCATGGCTACCTGTATCTCTAATTTGTGTTTCCCAACACCCAACTCCAGAAAATCTGGAGTTTCTATGCCAGGCCATGTGGTGGTAGCTGTTGGTCAATTGGGCTGTGGATTGGCTGCCCTAGGGCATGGCTTCTGCTGTGATTGACAAGTTTCTTCTCCAAGGTTATCCTGGGATTTCTGGCTATCTTGTACTTTCAGCAAAACATCGCCTTTCCCTCTGCCTTGTAGGGCAGCTTGTTTATTGCCCTATTCATGCACCTTCATTCAGAGAACAATTCAATCTCTCCCCTCTAGACAAGAGAACATGTAAAGACTCTACACTATAGTTTTCTTGTCTAGGTTGCCATTGTGGGGCACATGGTGGGTCTGTTTTTGCCTCTCTTTCAATGCGTAGAGGTCAGGCTTGCTCAGCCAAGCTTGACCATGCTCAGGGGCCCAAGAGCCCATACATGAAGATATATCAACAGAAGGGCTCCCTCTAGAGTCTGGCAGGGGAGTTCTCTTGGACATTAGCCACATTCACACCCTATAATTCAGAATCCTAAAATGGGTAGATCAGGGACCCATTTTTCTACAGAGCTCTTGTGGCACAGATCTTTCAGGGCACATGTTTGACTCAATTCCCAGTCCTTAAGGCCAACCACCACTACCACCACAGCAATACCACTTGACTGCGATTGATTAGTCCCATTGGCATATTGCTATTCTAAGCCTGGTTGATTGCTAACAACGAATGTGGATGCTACAGAGTAGCCATTATCTACCTGTCCAAAAGCAAGAAACCTATCAGTAAAAAGGATCCAAAAAAGAAAGCCCTCAGGCTCAAGAGACAGCAGCTGCTATGATTCTCACTCACTTCTCAGGTCCTATTGCCACATCATCAACAGACATTAGAACATGGCCCTATCCCAGCATCAGAGGCACATGTCCCTGGGAAGAGCTGGAGCAGTACTTTTGGAAACTATTGGAACATTGTGCTAGATATGTGTGTTCTTATCCTGTTTCAGTTATCTCTTGCTGTGTAAAAATACCCCAAGGTTTAAATAGCTTCAAACAAAAGATCATTTATCATGACATTGGGATTGACATGATAGGCTGAAGTTGCTCATGTGACTGCTTTCAACTGAGAACTAAAACATTCCAAATCGGTTCTCTTCCTCCAGGGTATCTCTCCATGTAGCCTCTCACCATGCAGTCAGTAATCTAGTCTGCACTTCCTTACAGCTTGAAGATACACTGACTTCCTAGAAGGAAGAAGCAGCAACCTCTGGAGTTGCTATGACTGGTGCTTAAAAATCCCAAAATAGTACTTCTTTGGCATTCTCTTAGTCAAAGAAAGTCACAGTCCCTGCCCAGATTCAATGAGAGGGAAATGGATTCTGTCTCCTTTGCTTACAGGGATGGGAGGAATTTTTTGTTTTGTGGTACCAGGATTGGAACTTAGGGCCTCACACATGTTGGACAAGCACTCTAAGTAATATTCCCCAACTTTGAGATGGGAGGAATTGTTTGTGGCCATATTTGGAGACTAGCTACCACTCTTTCTCCCCTCCATGACTAGATGCATCTCAAGCATGGACACAGGTTGAGCCAATCAGACTCTCTCTCGAGAATCTGAACCTGAAGACAAACTGTGGTTGAAAGGTACTGAAGATGTTATGAATAGTCCTGGGCCATAAGATGATCCAGGGAACATTTTTCTTCATAAGGGAGGCAGAAGAAGAACTATGAGAAGCCATGAGGCTACACAAGAGTCAAGGAAGAGTCACTTTGGCCTCCCCCACTTTGTTTCTGGGGTTTGGTTTCTAATTTAAATGATAATCAGAGATATTCTTAAAAAAACCCCACTATATTTATTTGGGAATTGCAGATCATCACAAGGGAAATATGTGTGCCATAGTAAACTTTGACCATACTTGAGGAGAACGAGGCAAAGGGAAACTTTTAAGGTGTAATGAGACCCAGAATTGGTGGTACACACCAGTAATCCCAGCACTAGGAGACTGAGTCAGAAGGCTCACTTGAGTCCAAGAGTTCAACACCAGCCTGGGAAACATAAGAAAACATAATAATAATAAAGTCAAAATTAGAATTATATATGCCATTTTGAAACAATAATATTTGACTACAAGGAACAATAACAAGGGAGACACTGGTCCAAGATTGAACAGACAGTTGCTGGGCAGACATCTTTGCAGAAGTAGTTTTGTGTAAGTTTGTGGTGGTCCTTGTGTGAAGTTGTGGTTCTGGCAGAGTCTTTTATGATAGTTCTTATTATGAAGCCTGCATGAGATCCCCTCCTTCCCAGCCTCCTGGTTTTATTTACTTATTTTGGTTAGGGCATTACAAGTTACTTCATTTTGATTCTGACAACTTTGACATAGCTTACTTAGAATCCTGTTTCTGCCTGTCAGAAGAATAGCCATTCTCTTGTCCTAAATGCAAGTGAAAAACCATTGGTGACTTTCAGCAGGAGACTGGCATAATCTGTTTTGTTTAGTACTGGGGATTGAACCCAGGGGTGCTTAATCACTGAACCACATTCCCCAGCCCTTTTTAATATTTTATTTAGAGAAAGAGTCTCATTAAGTTGCTTAGGGCCTTACTAAGTTGTTGACGCTGGCCTTAAACTTGCAATCCTTCTGCTTCAGCTTCCTGAGCTGCTGGGACATAATCTATTTTCTGCTTTCACATTTTTCCTTTGTAGATAATGCTGCGGCATGGGACCAGTGTAGTGGAAGCAGCGAGATCTAATAGGAAGTGGTAGATGATACTTGTTAGAGGGGGAAGTGGGCTTAGGTGGAGGTTTCAGGAGAGATGCCTTGAAATCTGTTTTGGAGTCAGGGACATCAACACTTATTTGATTAGACATAAGGAGTGAGGTAAAGAGAAGAATCAAAGAAGAATTCAAAATTTCAGTCTTGAGCAATTGGTAAATGGAGAGGCCGATTTGCTAAGACTCAGAAGCCTAGAGGAGGAGCAGCTTAAAGGAAGAGATCAGAATTCTGCTTTGTACATGTTAACTTTGATATGCCTGCTGACATGTCCAAAAGAACATTTTCATTGCCTCTCGGGTTGTACTGTTGTCCCTCTACCCTGGATTGGAGGCCCCCTCAAGTACTGGGTCTGCCAAGTCCAGGGTAGACCTTCTTAAGCCATTTAGACATTCTAAATTCTAAAAATATCAAGGTGCCTTATTTGATATATAATTCAAAATAAACATAATATTAAACATTGAAAATCTTAATTGTTTTCAGGGTGTTTGCCTAGCATGGGCAAGGTCCTGAGTTCAATCCCCAGCAGCAAAGAAAATAAACTGACAAACAAACAAACACCCTAAAATCACATGCTGCTGTCTTTTTTTTTTTTTTTGGGGGGGGGGTACTGGGGATTGAACGCAGGGTGCTTTACCACTGAGCCATATCCTCAGCCCCTTTTATTTTTTATTTTGAGATAGGGTTTCACTAAGTTGCTGAGGCTGTCTTTGAACTTGTGAAGGGGGAGGCCCCTTCAGCCTCTCTGAGTTGCCAGGATTGAAAGTATGCATCACTTCACCCAGCTGTTACTTTCATTCGGAAGGGCTTGCCAGCTATGCTTATAATCCCAGCGACCTGGGAGACTGAGGCAGGAGGATTCCCTAAGGTCCAGCCTTAGGAATTTAGTAACTTAGCAAGACCCTGTCTAAATTGAAAAAAGAAAGAAGACTGAGGATGTAGCCCGTGGTAAAATGCCTCTGGGTTCAATCCCCAGTATTCCACCCGCCACAAAGGACTTTATTCTGTTTTTTTTTTTTTCTGAGTTCAAAATTCTGGATGAACTCATTAACTATTAACTATGAACTATTAACTATTAAATATGAACTTTAATTTCTGCTTTGCTAGTGCCCCAAGTGCATGGCTCAGTCAGCTTCTTGGGTAATGTACCCCAGAGCCAGTTCCTCTATGACCCCCAGCTTAGGGTTTGGAATCAAAATCAATGCAAGAAAGTTCCATGGATGAATAAGTAAACAGTGGCATACGTTTTCCTCCCTTGAAGACGGAACTGAAAATCCTCTGAAAAGGCAGCATAACTGAAACCCAAAAGAACATTTTAACTTCATGTCAAGAAGACCTGGGACACATAGTCACCCAGGCTTGCTCCCCAAATTCCTTTCTCCCTGTGTTGTGGTTTCCTTAGACAGATTTGGGACTTTCTATTGAAATTTTGCCATTATCCTCAACTCCACAGCTCCCTGCTGTCCTGTGCTGCTGTATGACGCAGTAACTCCGAGTTCTGTCATGTAAGGAATCAAATGGTTGAGTGGGAAATTCAGAAGACCCAAGATTCGGGGACTGAGGTGACTCAGAGTCCGAGAGGG